AAAACAAAACACAAGGGAGACATAAATCAACTGCTGCCCCCACTCCCCAACCACCTTCATTACCATCCCATAAATATCCATTTAAAGCAGAGTGAGACTGACATCATTACAGCACATCTGGTCCTGGTTAGGACTTGAAACATGCAGATGATCCAGATTAAGGACCTCGTGTTCAGAGACAGGTGATCAACAAGCTCCTATAAAAAAACTGGTAGCAGCCTCCCCCACCCATTCCTGAGCCCTGTCTCCCTCCTCCTGAGGCAGGGGCTAGTCCTACCAGACAGAGGGAGAGCTACCAGTTGACGCCATGGCTGTGCATCAGGAATAACATGACCTTGCCTTAGAGAGTGCTCCTGCAGTAAGGTCTGTGTGAGAGAGCTGTGGTGTGAAGGTCAGCAACTCCCTGTGCATCTTGGCAGTAAGCTGCTCACTGTGCCTTGAGGCTGCCTGCTTTAATGAGAGCTAGGTGTTGGCTAAGCAGCTGCATATCCTATAACCCTGGTTGTGGGGCACTGTAGCATACTGGGCAAGTCTCTGGACTTATAATTAATAGGCTGTGGGTTTGAGTCCTTGCAGCAGACACTGCTGTTGAACCCTGAGTGAGATACTTCACCCCAGTTGCTCTAGCCCTAATCTGTATGAATTTGCTGGGGGTGGGCTCTGTGGTACACTGACATCCCGACTAGGGAAGGGGGTGTCATGTGCTCTCTGTTCACTGAGCGCCACGCACACCAGGCTAGGCTGAGGCCCAAGGCCTGCTCCCCCTAGTGCTTCTTGTAAAATGGGCCTGGGAAAGTTAAGTCCCCAAAGTTCAAGCACTGCAGCTACACACATCAATCGATGCTCCAGGTAAGACACCAGGGATTTGATAGATTTTAATTGTTCTTGGTGCTGTGTCCCCAGCGCACTTTGACCTCTGCATGTATGGCTGGAAGCGAGTTGATGACTCACATGGGGCTTGAGTGGTCCGCGTGGTGTCCTGGTGGTCTGACGACTGCAAAACCGTTCTGTTGGGGAGGGGGGGAGAAAGTGCTTATTAATACACTCTGGCCCATTTAGACATGAGGAGGAGGATGAAGCAGAGCGTTAAGCATTGATATGGATGTGATCCTAGGAAGTGAAAAAAACACAACATGTAAAAAAACCCTTGAAAGCTCTTTAAGCACAACCCAATAGGGATAGCTCTGTGCCGCTGACCTGATGAAGGTGGCCTGCTCTTGTAACGGATTAGGGAGAAACAGGAGTGTGTGGTCTTTGTGCACGGTTTTCTCCTGTGTTGCGCAACACTGATGTTTGTCAGAGTTCGAATCTCGGGTGGGGATACACTGTGAAAGGCACAACTCAGCAGTACGAAAATGGCACATGCATTGGAACTGAGATTGCATCCTTTGTCAATCTGCCAAATGAAATGATGACAACCTAGAAGAATCTCCTGAGACCATAGGGAAAAACATTTTAGGCAAGCCTTAAGAGGGGTCTGGTAATTAAATTTTAAATTGCCCCCCTGGGGATGAATAAAATATTTTGAATTAAACTGAACTGAATTAACAGGGTCCTTATGATGTGGCGCGTGCTTGTCAAGGATGTGCGTGACAGTCCTGGGCATCTCCTGGAGCCTCACCTTCAGCTCTCCCTTGGCCACTCGGAACGCCAACTCGGTCACACTGCCAGCCGCCATGCGGGAGGCTGTGGATGTGTGAAGCTCGTTCCAGATGGTGTCGTTATCCACCTGCACAAGGACACACCCAGCCGATCAGCAGACAAAGAGAGACACAGGAACAGCATCACGGAAGCAGGCAAGAAGCGCCAAGGGGACTGCCGCAGAGCCTGCGACCCCTAGATGGGCATCACTTTGCTCTCCGCCCAGTGCTACCAGCCCTGGATACCAGCCCTTTGGTGTGACAGTGCTGCTGGAGCCAGATGTGACCCTAATGAAATCCATTCTGTTGGAACAGCGAGCATGACTCCAAAGCAAACTTCAGCAGCTGCTGCCGGGGATAAAAGGGTGAGAACATGAGAGATTCATTCTTTACTTCTCTCCTTCTAGCATTTATCCGGCTCATAAGTTATCGGGGAATCGCAAACCATTTTCCAAGCTCGAATTCCACACAAGCCACAACAATCTCCCTGCAAACATCGGGTTGCAAAACAAGAGGACTAATACAGGCCCCCCTCTGCGGACTTCGACATCACCCCCAATGCGAAATTCCTTTCTGCTCCAATCACAGGATTTCATCTACTTTTCTTCTCCAGACCCAAGGCCATCTCCCAGTGTCTCCCAGTGTCACAAACAACCATGTTCAGGCTTGCTTCCATCATCATCATCATCAAATTCAGAAAACAAGTGACCCCCCCACTGCATGACAAAGCAAAATACACTGCCTTCACTTTCACAAACACTTGTGATTTTAGCCTATTAGAAGAAGTGAGTGCTGCACAGTCTGTATCTCTAGAACTCACTTGTCAGCTCTGTCTTACAACAATCCATGTACACACTTGGCAATGCGGGCTGTGTGTTGTGGTTTACTGTACTGCAAGGGAACTGGACTATGTAATTGGTGAGGTCTGAGTCAAGGCCACAACTCTACTTTTGAAACAGTAGAAATCTGTAAGGAAAGATGGCTGGGTTTAACGGGAGAAAGAAAGCAGGCTCCACGCGTTTCTACAGGTTTTGCAGCTGAATGATGGTCGCTGCTGTGGCTGGCCGTGCAGTGCGCCCCTTCTGGGCTAGGGCGTCCCGTCCTCCCAGGATTCCCAGAAGAAACGCTCCTACCGTACGGAGACAAGATTTCGACAACAGCGCCAGCTCAAAAGGCCGCCGTGTTCCCGTGTGACTTTGTTTTTCCTTACGAAACTCACATTTTTTAGAGGTTTGGCACCACGGAACAATGAAATCAGAGGAATTTCTTTTATCATTGTCATCAACATATTGTTTCAATCAGCTCACATCACCAGGGAAGCAGAGTCCGGAAATCTACATGGATTAAGGCCTTATCAACATCATGCATGCAGCTTTCCCCCCACCCCGATAATCCCCTCTCAACTGTAAATTGCTGAACTCCGACCATAGCATACAAGACTCGTGCCACAGACAGGCCCCATCAAAGGGAGCCTGTGATTGCCAGCCCCACCCTCGGAAGAGCCAACCGCCAGGGGCTCTGGAAACTGCAAACAACAACAAGAATCCTGTTGTGCTTTATCCATCCATCTTCCAACCACTTCATCTGATTCAGAGTGGTGGGGAAGCCAGAGCCTATCCCGGCAAGCAACGGGCGCAAGGCAGGGTACAGCCTGCATGAGTCGCCAGTTCATCACAGGGCACATACACACACACTAGAAGCCACAGAATCTGCCTGTATGTCTCTGGATAATGGTAGGAAACTGGTGCACCTGGAGAACATACAAACTCCATGCAGACAGCACCCCAGCAGGACCAGAACTGAATCTGTGATGGAATCTGTCCAGTCCCATCACCCCAGCCAATAAATCTTTCGATTCCCTAGAACACACACTGTGCTTGGCGTAGAGGTCAAGGAGTGGAATGCCGATTTTTGAATTCTGCAAACGACACATTGCACAACGTAGAAAAAGAGAGTGTCGTTTTATCATGATCCAGTTTCCCTCAGAGCCTGGATTGCTCATGGGATGAACCTTGACAGAAAAGTTAAGAGCTGGTGCCAAACATGGAAACCCAGCTGCAGGAATACCAGAGCAGTGTGCGGATTTCCATCTGTTCAGAGCACCTCGCACAACGTACTACATGCCTAGGACACGCAAAGCAGCAATTAACGCATACGGGCATGTTTGTTTTATGAAAGGCGTGTTTAGTCTGGCACACAACTCAAGGTGTAATACTCTTTTTGCGGCTCCAGTCATTCACTATACGCGTTGAACCCAAAGCCCCTTCAGCTGGTCTCTCAAATATAATGTTTTCCTTTAGTTCATGATTCATAACCAAGCTCAGTCTTTTGACTTGCTCCATGTGGGAGTCCAGGTACCTCGATTATCTGTGCTATCGGGTGATATAATTAGCACTGAGGTTAAGAAAGGTTCATAGTCCAAAGCTCCTCTTGCAGTTTCTAGTCTCATCTGTTCTTAAAACTCTCTGTGGCAGGCATGGTAAGATTTACTGCAAATGTCACTAAGCAAGGCCAAGGATAATACAGTGCAATGATAACAACAACAACTATATTTTAAACACTGGCAGTCCAGCAATGGCTTATTAGACAATTAAGCAGGTCAGGGTACTCTCCAGGATCTGCTGTGCATCTACTTCGAATCTCCCAGAAGACTGTCAACATGTACTGTATTTAGTGGTTCAGGTTTATGACAGAAGGCAGTGAGGTCTAATGTGATAATAAACATACTCTCCAGCCCAGCCCTGCCTAGCAAGGCCAACCCTGGGCACATGGCTCTTGGCATACATTGAACTTTGTGTGGCAGGAGGACCATTTTCTTATTTTATTTCTGCGGTTTCCTGCTCTGTGGAAAATCACAATCAGATTTGTGGAGAAGCATAACTGTGATGCATCAAATCTGATCTCTCGTGCTAGGATATGACAGGACAATTAAAGGGGGGAAAAAGAGCAACAAAAAAATAGACGCCATTCTTGCCTATCTGCCAGCAGAGACGCTATAAATCTCCAGGTTGAGAAAGCCGGGTGACTCAGGCAGACCTCCACAAAAATTCCCTCTCCGGGGAGGCCGGTGGAAACAGGGTAGGAAAATCAGGATACATGAGGAGGTGGGACGCGTGCCGACTCTGCCGAGACCGACATGTTCTCAAGGATAAATCAAATCAACAACGAAAAAAACTCTCCGTGAACACACACACACACACTTCTCCGTCTCTCCTCGTATTTTCCTATGACAAATTCCAGTTCCATGTTCTTGAACTGGAATTTCAGGTCAGTTCTGAAATGCGGGGATTGATTTGAAAAAGATGAGGGACTAAGAAAAATAGGCTTATTCCTCCAGCACTGAGCAGCTTTTCCAAATGTTCTGCAAACCCCCTCACCCCCTTCCTGTGCTCCTGCCTGTGGAGCCCAGATAAGCAAAGCCCAACATAGTGCCCCCCACTATGGCTCTTTTCAAGTGAAGGGGTTTAGAAACTTGGCATGAGGGCCCGGCTGACAAAAGTACTTGACTGGGGTAGTAGTGACAGAGGGTTAAAGACCGGAAGGAATGGTTAGGAAAATGTCCAGGTCTCCAACTTACCCCAACACCCCCACAGGGCAGCATCACAAACATCCTCTGGGACAGGATTCCTGAGGGAAGGAGAGAATCGATGACAAGGTTAAACAGTCTTAAAGACAAACTTAACGCTTTGTTCAAGGAGTGAAGGTAAGTCCGGCTCTGATAAGGCCTTCCTCCTCATGGTGGCCCCATAACTTGGGTCCTGTCAGAACCGTGACAGCTGTGCCATCGAGATTTCATTTCGGCCGAGAAAATTCTCACGATACCCTCACGTCACTGCACGGAACAACATTGCCTCTATGTGTGCCTGGTGTGTCAGAATCACCACACAGGGCATCAGGGGTGCACTCTCTTTAACACAGCTACACGTAAAGCAGAAAATCAAACTTAGTCTCCTGCTTGCTGTTTTTTCCCCCAAATCTAAGTAGTCAATTAAACAATTAACCTAATTATTAAAGTAGTCTTTTATATGATGAAACAAGACACAGACTTCATTAAAGGTATAGTTATCTATAAATCACACTCGGAGGCAGGTTAGAAGTGCTACAATTACGCAGTTAATAAAATAACTAGACCAAGTATGCAAGTGCAAGCTAGGGGGGAGCACCCACCAGGAGACGGGGGATCCCCAGGACCCGAGCCTGAGAGAGCCCTGATGTACAGGGTGGCTTTGTGCTGTAGTGCTGGGACAGGCTGGCCCCGAGCTGGCAGTGTCTCTGTGACGGGCTGGCGGCGTGCCCGGCCACTTACCGGCCAGCTTGCGGTTGTCCAGCTTGAGCCGATTGAGGGGGTTGGTGCCGTACAACAGGACGTGGCGCTCCGAGTGGACGGACTGCAGCTCCTCCAGCGTGGCCTTCCTGCCCCGGATGCTCTGAAGGAGACAGGCACAGCCACACCGTCACATCGCTGGACACCTGGCAGCCTCGCCGGGCAGAGCCCGCTGGAAGGCCCTGCACTCTTGAGACTAACCGTGTTTATGGGAGTTGTGTGTCTGTGAGTTGTGCCACATGTTGGTGCCAGTAGACTACTGTCTGACAGCGATGCAATGAGTTACCCACTGACATAACAGCCACTGCTGGAATATTAAGGGCCCCAGAGGACCTCCCACCCGAAGAAACACTGTGTTTCCTTTCTTCTCTTTTCAGCATGGAATAAGTCTTTACTTGTTACTTTGGGATAAGACAATATAGCAGACCTTTGCCTAAAGATATGGAAGTGGTTTAAGGGATGATGGTTAGTAAGTAGAATGGCTTCTGAATGTGTTGGGTGGATGCACTGTGTTATCGGCTTTATGTTGTATATTTGTATGGTATGTCTTAAATTGTATGAGCTCACCAAACCAAATTCCATTAAACTAGTTAAGGCAATAAAGTATTGAACTGGTCCATGAGATGTTTGCTCTAATTTGTTCTGTTTTGTACAAACATTTTTAATAAAAAGGAGCAAGAGCTGCCGACAGAGGAGGACTGGCCACCTGGTCCAAGAGAAGTGCCTCGTGACGAACGAGGAGAGGGGTTGGGGTGTCTTTACCTCACACTGGTTCCTCAGCCCTCTCTCCTGTAGTCTGGACCAGATGCTCTGGATTCTCCCAGCATGCTCCGGGTGAGTGCTGTTGTCGCCGCAGGTGCACTGGTGCTTCAGCATCTGTGAGTCGTACACAAGGCCTGCAGGAGGAGGGGTGGACAGACAGACAGGACACCACCGTCACCACACTGCCAGAGGACAGGAAAGCAGCTAATCCAATGGCTTCCCTGTGCTGGAACGAATTGCAGTGCCAGTCTGATAAATTCCTCAGCCTTATCCTGAGCAGGTTGGTCGGTAGAAACACTGAACACCCCGCCCCCTCGAGAACCACAGGAGGGACTCGTCCGATCTGAAGGGCTGGTGAGGGGCCTCCTGGTGTCTACCTGTGGTGAAGCGAGGCTTGGTGGGCGATTCCTGGACAGGCAGCGCGAGGCTCTTGTCCGGGATCGTGATGGTGGCGGAGGCCGGGGAGGACTGGGTGCGGGACAGAGGGCGGTGAGCGCTGAGCACCATGGGAACCGCCAGCGTCTCCATCTGTGCCGTGTGCCGGCGGAGCTGCTGGAGCTGTTTCTGCTTCTCCCAGAGTAACGACTGCTGTGCAAAAAGAGAAAGAGGGACAGAGGGGAAGGTGAGAGCAGAGCCAGGGCAGCAGGATATAACCCATGTTGTACGGACAGCATACTGACATACTGGGATTGTCACAGCATGAGCTGCTTCTAAAGTTAGTTGGTGTGCTCAACAGATGGTACCCTGAATGCATAATTTAAGGACTGGCCTTCCATGGTGTAAAACCACCCAACACCTCTGCACAGAAATAAAACACTAAGACACTTATTGAGCTTTAAGTTTGACCAGGATCAGAAACTAGTGCACTCCTTTTTTTAATACCCATTTTCACAAAGTGCAGTACTATGGTGCCCTCCTGTGGTAACTGCAAGGCATGACTGATGTATAGCTCTCTACTGCCCTATTGTGGCTCAGGGGGATATTACACCACTCGCACTTCACTGGGTGCAGTGAAGCAATCACATGACTATGACACGGGATCACTCTGAGAGCACTTTTGTCTACAGTTCCTGAAACCTTGCAAGCACATGGGTAGAAATCTGCTAAATAGGGTTGATCAAAGCAGCTTGGGCTGTTTTTAAAGAGGAGAAAGGGAAACCTCACTATGGTTCCACAGCGATAAATGACATACTGTAGATGAAAGCTTCCTGTGACATGTAATTGAAGATTTAACACTTAGTGAATGCACAAAAAGTTTAGAATGCTCATACAAAGAATAACACATGGATACTGCCATCCTGTCATCTCCAGTTATGCGACGTCTTAAAATCCAAAACCAGAACCTTAGAAGGGAGGTCACACCATCTGCCTGCGTTCTGCCTACCTTATTTGAGTAACTCTATAGTTTATTTGTGTGTATAGTTTATTTGACCCGTGTAATAAAATAATTAGTCCACTGCATACTTCTTGCCTGGAGACGGAGCACCCATCAGGCCTGAGACCCCCAGACCCCAAAAGGTTTATTTTCACCTACTGGGAGTTTTCGAGTTCCTCCCCTCTGTGCACAAATCGTCTATTGTTGCTGTACAACACTGTGAGCTTCTGTATAATCCAGTATAGCATTCTGCAGCAAACTGTTGAGAAGACCACTATAGAAAAGATTCATTCAATAAAAAATTGAACCTACAGTGCATAAGTGTTCCTAACCATTGTTGGCTATCTGTGCAGCGAATTATACCTTTTTATTCACAAGAAGTAATATTTTTGCATTTACTCATGTGTGCTGCTGAATCATTGCGATTGTCAAAATGAAATTATTTAGAATGGACTAGGCAAGTAATAAAGATGGTATTAATGTGTTTCCCAGATAGTGTTTCTCAGACATTTCCCTTTCTCCGTGTGTAGTTGTGAATGCTGAGCAAGAGAGCATGTGACATTACCTGATTGAGAATAAGCGCATGCTGGATGTTTATCTGCTGGTGCTGCTCCTGTTCACCCGCCCCCTCTGCTCCACTAGACTCCGCCTCCCGTAGTGACTCCGCCCTGGGGCGTCGCTGGTGGGTGTCGGTCAAACCCGCCTCCTCAGAATCCATGTCCTCTGAGGGGATCTGCCTGAGCCGAGGCTTCTCACTGGGCTTGGACATCAGCTGGCACACAGACATGCACAATATCACCCACCCACACAATGAAGCCTGAAGGCAATACTGGCTGGGGGCAGCCCTTCCTCCATCTTGCCATTCTGCTGCCATGCCACGAGACTGTGTTGCTTAAGTAGTATTTCATGTTAGTTACCTTATATTATTTAGATCCGCACAATTCATTCCTTATCAGAAAGCTGCTTATTTCTAGTGAGAGTCCTGGCAACCCACAGCCTACCTAGAAGCTCGAGGCACAAGACAGGACTACACAATTGGTGGGACACTGGTCCATCACGGGGAAGACACACAAGCACACAGGGATAATTTAGAGGCACCAATTAATCCCGCCAACATATCTCTGGAGGTGGGAAGAAACTAGAGCACCTGGTGAAACTCTACGTGGACACATGCAGAACATGTGTCTCAGGTGGGAATGGAGCCCATTTTCCCCAAGGGCAGTGAGGCAGCGGCAACTAACCATGACGTTACCCTCTGAGCAGACACGTCAGAATTAGAAATATGCATATACACACATGCAAATGCAATGTGGCATCTCTTTCATCTGTTCTATCTGTATCACAGCAATTGAAATCCAGGTTAAATTTGACCACGGCTCCTTCCCCGCACTGGAGTCACGCCTGGAAACGTGCTGGAAGAGTTTCTCATCAGCCCAGGGAAGAGCCTTACCTTGCCCAGGTGCGTCTGCTGCTTGAGCCTCTCCAGCAGCTGGCTGTGCTGGTGCTGCTGCAGCAGCTGCTGGTGGAGGGGCCGGGGGCTCTGGGGCAGCGGCTCCGAGCGAGTGCGGCTCAGGGGCTTGTGGGGACCCAGGGCGGCCACCCTGTCGAGCTGGGGGGCGAACTGCAGGGGCATGGGACCCAGCCCTGGAACTGGCGAACAAACAACCCCATGTCACGCGCATCACAACACAGGGTGCTGACGGAGCCCGGTTCACACGGTTCAGACAGCTCACCGATGCAGACAAGCCACGGTCCTTTCACACTCGACTGCAAACCACATGTTAGCGAGTTAAGACTGGCAACTCATTGCTTAAATGCCTTGTTCCCGATTCATACTTAGCACTGTGTTTATTCTGATAAAGGAACACTTTCCACTTTCCATTTACTTTCCATTCTGAAAGTAAAAGAAAACAGACACATCCTTTCAGCTCCAGAGCCTTCTTCAGGTGTCTTCTCTTTTTCTTCCAGCGTGGAATAAACCTTTTCCCGTTCCTTTGCAGCCCAATCATGCGGATGCAGCTCCCTACTCGAACTTGTTTATTCTGATATACGCTTAGCATACATGCCAAGACTGCATGCGTGACATTCTAGATTACTATCAGGATATATGTTACTGTGGTGAAAATGAAAGCAAATGTCAGCTTTTATCAGCCTTGCAAGGACTGTCTGTTATAAAATGCAAACGTTCACCACTAGATGGCAGTGCTCACCTTTCTGAGTCACATTTGCCATCTGGATATTATCATGCTCCAGCTGACAGAAGAGCCTATGTTTTTTGTGAGTTCACCACACCATTTGAGGCAAGCCCACTAGAAAACACCCTTACATAAATAAATCAGGCATTTTCAAGCAAATCGAAACCCAGGGCGCTTCTCTAACTAGACTGCTGAAAGTCTGATTTTCACAGCATGCCCCACATTAAAATATACCCCAGTGCTGTTTTAAAACCAACAATGTACAACTTATTGAGGTTATTGAAGAACGTGAGCACCATTAGCTTTTGAAATTGAAACCATCTAGTGTGATTTTGCACAAATTTAGCACAACATAGTTTCAAAGTTTCTCAAGGTTTTCAAAAAGCTCATTCATTGCCTCAAGCCTCGTCACACCTCTGTGCTTTCTCTTGTCTTCTCATGACTTCCTTGTGCTTTACCACCACACTTCGCTTACAACACAGTGAGCTCTTATCAGGCATGAGGCATGAACAGGCTTCTCAAAGGACATTTTCACTTTCATCCTACAACGCAAGGAGTTTGGGAGAGCTCAAGTGCATTGAGTGTGCTGCTTGTCAGTATGTTTACCACCAAACTCAGTTTCCTTAACACTGAATTTATTGCAAGAGAAGGATTAGGCTTCAGAGATCAGCTGAGTACTTGACAAGAGCAATAACCTTGTAAACCTTTTTGTGTAAAATGCAGAATGACACCAGGATAGGTTGTACACTGCGGCCCAACAAAAACTATGATTAACCTCACTATACATCAGAAACTGAAAAGAAAAATGCATTCACATTCGCCCCAGCAAACATTTATAAGGGTGTGTTGGAGTTAGGGAGCAGTTTGGCTAAGAGCTGTATCTGGGTGTGTGTGCTCTGTATTGTTCCAATAAAACTGTTCATATGGGACTTATCTGCAAGTGAGAGAGTGCTGCACCCTGGTCATCTTGCCAGAGCCTGTGCTGGGTAAGCATGATTCTATTTGTCTGTGCACATGATTGATCCCATATAAATGCTTACTGGGAAATATGTGGTCAAGCAAAGCGAACCCACTACACGGTTTGTCATAGCCCCACACAAAATAATACATTCTTACATTAGGAAAAATTCCTATGAATAATTTGAGATTGTGATTTGCAGAAGCTACAAATTCCACAAATGGACAGTCCCTTCTGCAAAAGTATTCAGTCCCTTCCAGTGATTTCCATATTTTGTTGTACAAATGATGTATAATGTGTTTTCAAGAGAATATTTTCATCAACATCTGCAAATACAAACTGGACTTGTATTGTATTGTATTGTATGTGTGTGAAGCAGCACTAATTGCAGCTGTGTTTTTGGATGGGTCTTTACGAACTTTGCAAACCAGAAAAATGTACTTTTCACGCATTCTTCTTTGCAGATTTAAACAAGATCCACGAAGCTGGTTGGAGATCGTTGATGGACAGTGATCAACTTGGCCGATGGCTTACATTTACAACCCCTGTGCTGCATGTGAGAACAGTCCTCTGAACATACTCCCCTGAAATGTGCACCTGTCGGATCTTTGTCATTTGATGAGCCTTACAGGAGTGTTATCTCTGATAAGTGGAGTTCTGTGCTACTCACTGACACAACAATCATAGGGCCACTTGGCCGACTGTATACTTTGGCTTGGCGAATACTGGTTGCAGTAAGCAAGCATAATCCAAGCTTGAACCAGCATGTTACTGTAAAAAAATACTTATGCTACTGTCACAGACCGCTCCTCAAACAGGAGCGCGCAGCGGACCTGGAACAAACGGCATAGACTACTGGTACAGCTGTCTCTAACCCATGTTGTGCGCTCACCGGTGACCAAGGGGGTGGAAATCAGACCTGAGGGCTCCAGGATGACCACCGGCTGCAGGCGAGGCGACAGGTGCCCAGTCGTGTCCTCCAGCCCCACGGGCATGTACACCTGGGGGGCCGCCCCCGTCAGCACGGGCAGCCGGGCTGCTTTCAGGGAGCCCATTTCTGCATCGCCCTGCAGGAGGAGAACAAGCAGGATCAGACCCCGTCCACGCCACTGCTGCGCCGAGGAGAAACAGACTGCCACTGGACCAACAGGGGTTTTCGAACAACGAGAGGAGGCCTGTTCTCAAAGCCACGCTTGAAGGCTGGGCGAGGGCACATGGTTTCTTTATTTTTGCACAGGGGTTTGGGTGACTCAAGCGCTGACAATTCTGAAAGGTTCAGAGGTCAGCAAACAAAGAAACAAACAAACAAAGAAACAAACAAACAAACAAACAAACAAACAAACAAACAAACAAACAAACAAACAAACAAACAAACAAACAAGGACTTGGACACGCCAGTGGAAGTTAAGAGGAAGACAATCCACTCTGGAAGAGAGGGGCCCATAATACCCAGTCATGATGCTGAAGCTGGGATCTTTGCGGACAAGGCAGGACAAGACACGCTGATTAATAAACTACAGTCAGCCAAATGAACGAGATGATGATCCTGTCTTTTGTCAACGCACTGAGCAACAGGTAACAGAGGTGCTCGCAGCCACATGTTCAGTCACTGCATGAAGCACGATTTCAGTATCCATTGTTTAACCTATCAGAGGTCACGGTGGAAGCCGGCGTTTCTAAGGAAAAGCACTTGGATTCCCAGAGGCAAGTCTTGTCCTGGCTGTGCCAGTCAATGTGGTGCTGGGACTCTGCACGAGCGCTGTCTGACACACACCTTGGCGTTGGCTGGCAGGCCCAGTGTGATGGTGGGAAGAGCGGAGGGGTTCTGCACAGTGAAGTGTGCCAGCGTGCCATCCTGGAGCAGCAGCCTCTGTGCCTGGAGGGAGGAAGACAGAGGCAGTCAGGCAGCGAAACAGACAGGGGAATGATGGCATCACCTGGCAGGAACCAGGCGCCTGGAGAGACGAGAGCAAACAAGGGAGGGAGCAAATGTGGGGAAACGACTCAACTGAACAGGGGGAAAAATGAGTGCATGAGACTCAGAGGAGGAGAATGGGCAGGAGAGAGACAGGTGGGGGATCCATACACACGTCTCATCAAACCACCCAGCTCTTGCTCAACATTCACAGGGGTAGAGAAATAAAAGGACAAAGGGGGCAAAGGACAACCTCATTTCTGCAATGAGAAGGCTTGTTCTCGTTGTGTAAAAAATTAAAGGGCTAATGATCTAGAATGGATACTATTTAAAGTTTAAATTTACTGAATCTTTTCCCCATATTTAGGATTCTCTAAGCAGCTTAAATCTTTCATTTCAATAGATCTCATTAAATTCTGCACTCCTGCAGAGGAAGAGTTGTTAAGCCACCATGAGAGAGCATGTGTGTGGGAAGCATATTCAATTCATCAATGCAGCCTCTAAATGAATTAATCAGAACAGACCTGGGTTAAAAGGTTTAATTAATGCACGAAGAGATCAAGTGTCATGGGCAGAGTCTGCCGCTGCTGTAAAAGCCTGTCTCCAGGGCCATTGTTTAAAACATTCGATTACTCCGTTGCCAGAGAGTCCTGCACACCCTGCGTTCTGTACCTACAAGGTTTCCAAGAACTCACAGCTCAGATTTCCAAAACTAACGGCCTGGCAGCTAATGAGATTTGCAAAACAAAAAAAAGGAAGAAATAATTAAAATGGGAGGAGCTGAGGAAAGCACACGAGGGGACCTAAAAAGAAACAGAAAAAGGAGCCAGCAAGAACCAGACGAGGGGAGCAGAAAGACTCTGGTGATGCAGGCGGCCTTTTGTTCTGGTGACCAATCAGGAAAACAGGAATGGTGACCTCTGCTTTGCGATTGGTCTCCATCCTATTTCTATTTGCCCTGGCGGTGACCCCGGTTGTGACCTCTGCCCCAGCAGAGCGTGTGAACCGGACCCACACTTTTCTGAATGGACCATTCGCTTTCCTCAAAGACAGGCTCCGTAAATCCCCTCCAAAACACTACTTCAGAGACCGACAAGGGCAAACTGCAGCACACGTGGGCTCTTTACTACAACAGACTCCCTTTATAAGAAGACTTACTAGGATGTAAAAAAGTGCTTAGCTCTGTGCGGTGGAGGTGGTTGTGCAGCAAGACAACATTGGTTTTATTAACACAAATGCCACTTATACATACACATTACATACAACCCCTTCCCCCGACTGAAAGATTGAATTAATGTAATGTGTTCCTCAAAAGGTCAGGTCAATAGATGGTACCAATGATGAGATATCTATTATTTTACATGTAAAAAACCTTCTGATTTATTATCGATGTCCAGACAAACACCCGCTTTCTTCTCCTGACAGAGCGCTGCGTTGGCAAGGTAGGAACAGTGTTGGTTATGACAGTAGCCTGACCCTATTTACTGGTGTACATGGTTAAGAAAGCGAGCAGACATGATAAATGAAGTCAGGGATCCCTTGTCTCGTTCAGGCAGTGGCTGAGCCCGAGAGGCTGAAGAACCAGGGCCGAGGGGAAGAGGAAAATTGGGGGCTCACCTCATGGGACACTCCAGCGGTCGGGGGTAGCACTCCGTTCTCCGTGGGCAGGCTGTCGTTGGGGGAGCTGCAGCCGGAGACGGGGGTACTGCTGCTGCTGGGAGAGGAGTCTGGTGGGGTGAGAAATAAGCACAGCTGTTTCAACATCTGTCTTCACCAGAGGTATCACAGGACAGAGGCTGAAACATGCTCTTCTCATCGAATAATCAACCAATCAGCGAGAAGATTCCGTGTTTTTGCTTCTCGGCTGCCGTCGGGTGCCAGCAAAACAGGGATCCGATCAGATGTTAAAGAAAGAAATAATAAAAAAAAACAGTGGCACACGGGAACCTTATTCACAGCCTGTCAGTAAAACAGAAAAATTGAACCGGAATGGAAAAGATATTCTAAGAAACCTTGAGCTAATAGCCCCATCATGGCTCTTGAATCAGTCCATTCTTATCGTGTTTCAAAACAACTCCCTTCACATGGGAAGCTACGTGAGAGGCTCTGGAAGAGCAATACCAGCAAGAACTGGATAAATGACCTGCCTGGAAATCTCCCACCTGGCAGAGTATTAATCACCTCCAGACCTCACTGGTGAACAAGCGCACCTCAGCGAGACTTGTTGCGCAACCCAGTCCTGCCTTTTCTCAAAGGAAATGACTACAGCTGAAAACCATTTAAAAACACTTCAGCACTGATTACGTCAGGAGGGTTTATAATGCAAATTGGACGTCAAACCTTAATCAGAAAAGAAAAAAAAAGTCCCAGGGCGGAAGAAGGCAGCACCCTGCTTTCAATCTGAATTTCAGGTTCCTGTAAGGAGACTTAAAGCACTGAAGCTGCTCAACCCACAGACACTGGAATCCCAGACTAACGCAAAAAAAAAAAACATATTTAGACTTCCATTCATGATTCAGACTCTTTAAAACAGTTTTGAGCACACACATGTTTAAGGACATCTGCATCCATAAAACTTGAAAGGAGCAGGCCTGTTAAAAACTGAAAAGGTGAAAAACGATGTTGGCCAACAGTATACCAATAATACAAAACGAAACAGACCCATGTGGAATGTGTAATTGGCTAGTTTCAAGGTTTGTTGTTTTGCACTTGGCTTCTACTGAAGTTATCAATCAGGCATTTATCTGGTGTACTACAGTACAGGCGCTGAGGTCACCGATTTGCGCATGGTGTGACCACACATTACATTCTCGCGAGGAAAGACTCATTTTTAATTGTCCCACTTTCTGGAATGTAATAAAACCAGAGGGCAGGAGGTAAGTGGGAGTACAGAATAAGCTGGCCAGACATGTTGCTGAAGTCAAGAATAAGCTGACCAGACATGTTGCTGAAGTCAGTACCCAGCTTCCTTGAAGATACCGCTGGACAAGGTGCCTGAAGGTGCATTTTTAGGGCCTGAATGCCTAGTAATGCATCGCTGGGCAAAGGGAAATAATTCACGTCATTGAATCTAGACATTCAAAACAGTGATAGGACTTAATGTGAAGCCAGGCAGCCTTAGCGTCACTGGGGTGTTGGCATCACAGGCCGATGTTGAGGAGCGACCACGATACCCACCCATAGTCTCGGGGGCTCTCTGCTTCACAGTCGGAGGGGCGCTCTCCTTGCGGGTCAGGGGGCTCTTCCTGGTGCCCAGGTGCTTCTTCAGTTTGTTCTTCACCTTCAGGTTGGGCTCGGAGGCTGAAACAACAGGACGATGCCCTGTTACACAGGTTAACCACCCCTCCTGGAGGGAATCCCACCCTTGCTCTTTCAGAACAGGTGCTGCTGTAGTGTTCAAAATTTTGCCAACTAATTATTAATGCAGAGATGACAGTTAGACTACAGCCCTGGGTGGCTCCTCCCACACAGGGGTGCTGTCTCACTGGCTGGCCGGCCCACTGTGCTGCGTCTGCTAAATTGCCAGATTGGTGACTCCAGTTTTAATGTAATTGCTGTTTTCCCGGATTTCACCATGTGTTACTGGAAGAGAAGCGGACAGTTCGACTCATCTGCTAGGCTCTTCATTCACTGTCTCATGTAGGAGTAGAGGAGAAGTTCATCCCATTTAGTCAATGAGGCCACACTGCAGGGCCCATTTTGACACGAGCTGGCATCACACACAGCGCTCATTTGTGAGAACCCGTCCCTGTTTTTTGGGGGGAATGATTCCTTGTGAGGCTGAAGACATGTTAAACTACTTCGCCATATGGGCACAGATTCATTTCAAGATATCACAGCCCTTTATGAAATGCATAATTAGCGCTTTATCAATTTCCAAAACGTGAATTTGTGTTTCTGTAGAGCTGGCTGGTGAATATTCATGTGCCATATCCAAACACAAGGCGCCATCTCACATTGATGTGTGCATTTTGTTAGGCTTCTGTAAGGCATGTCTGAGATTGGATTCTGTATACAGATGATCTCTCTGAACTGAACAGCCTCACCCAAAATTTGTGTGGATCTGCTGAATAACGGTCTGGAGAAATAATGTGTTAAGATGGACGAGCGCTGGGTTGGATGAGAAGTTTTGTTTTTGTTTAGGGACTAAGGCGACCAGCTCTGTTGCCTCCTGTGAAGCCTCCCACATTCATCTCCTAGATGATCTTCTCTCATAGTGTCACTTTAGCACCCGGCTCGTCCTGCCGCAAGCCAGGAGTCTTCATTCTCCTCCCAGGACAGGCAAGAGGATGAAGGAAACTGACTCGGACTGAACTGGCAACTTCCCGAATGCAGTGGCGATGGACCAACCTGTCCGGCGCAGCGGAATGTCTTCTGGGGAGTCGCTGGGTGGCTGCGGTGGGGGGGGCACCATCAGAGAGGGAGGGGGGACATCGGGGTCCGGAGCCAGCGCCCTGCAGATATACAGCCCACAGCATTAAACCAGTGTCTTTGTACAGCCGGCCTGTTTGTTGATTTAGTTTAAATTTGTATCTGATCTTTATTTTCTGCAGCCATTAAAATCATGGAGGTTTCACTCGATACATTTACTAGTCTTGAATAAGGAAGACTGTGACACAGTAAAAGTACTCAAAATCCTCAAGGGCCTTGACACACCCAACCCAGTGAACCATGAACAAGAGGGCACACATGTGGAGAAACTGCAGGGAAGTGCATTTCAAACTGAGAGGCACTTTCTTTACACAAAGAGTTGTGGGAGTCTGGAACAAGCTGCTGCACAATGCTGCTGTAGTTGAAACCCTGTTTTCTTTTAAGAAAACAGCTTCATGAGATTGTGGACCAAACATCTACTAACTACCAAATGAGGTGAATTGGCCAAATGGCCTCACATTTGTTAATGCTACAATTTATTCAAAGCATTTAAAGTAAAACATTCTGATCATTTTTGAAAGGACTCACATACTTTTCCAAAAACCTTACACTTTTACACCGTCCAAAAACAGTTAGACTGAACCTGGCACCCATATTAAACAGATAGCAATCCTATTGGGGTTCAGTTGACTAAAACTGCATGCCTAGTGTTCAAGGCTCTTATTGTGGGGACACGCTCATTGAGAAAAGCATGGCTGTTAATTTGCGTGTATGGCTCTGGCTGGCTCGCAAACAGACGACACCAGCTCAGAAGGAGAACAAGTGTGGGTTGGCTCACCTGTAGGCTACAGGGGGGTTGCTCAAGGGGTTGGAGTTGGTACGCTCCAAGGCAGCCTGCTGTTTCTTGAGGATCACTTCCTGTAGTTTCTGTTTGACAGCTGTACTGGCCACAGCACCTGCCAATCAAGAGAGCCATGAAATCAGAGTCCTGTTTTCTATTCCACGAGATCCTGCAGGAACAGCAATTCCTTCATCATTCTCTCCAAGGTGAGGGGAATGGAGGCAATTGAACCGTGGATGTTTTTTAAAGAAAGTCTCCACATGTCTTTCTGCAATGACCCCTGCAGACTTGTACAATAAGGCACTCAAAAGTGTGTTGAACCTATGGTAACTGCTACCACATGCTCTCCGAAAGCTCTTGAACCGTTCTGAAGGAAAAAGTGGAAAAGGAAGCAGAGCTGACATGCACTCACACACAGGAATTCCCACACATGTGGCTGTGAAGAGGGACTGAGAGCAAGGTGTCAACCCAAAACTGAAGCCACATGGGCCCGGCCCTTGCTATGCAAATGGTCAGCTAACACAGAATCGCTGAAATCAATTCATTTGATTTTTGTCTTGAAAGGTCATTTAAGGCAGTAATAGACATTATGTGCAATCTGCCTTTTAAACAATGTTCTTTTTTAATAGTGGCACTGGTAGTAAAATCCTGAGTATTTTATGCCTGTAGTTGGCTGGCTCAGCTGAAAATGGTTATAATTATAATTCTATTCCCAGACACCTACGGTATAGGCTATTGCTGGATGGAGCTGCAGCTAATCGTGCTTAACCTCATTAAAGGAAGAAGACAATTTGGCAAACACATTGTTATGTTTTTAACGCAATACTGTGCTAAACTTGTTTTCTCATTGTGTGAGCCAGATGCTACTGTAATGACCCCAGTCTAATGACAAACAAGGCTGTACAAGCTGTACAACAGCGCTCAGTGAGACTGCAGGCTGGCTCTCCGCGCTCTAGCTAATACCAGCTGAACTCTGAAAAGAGCCACCACTGCCAGAAAAAAATCTGGCTGTACTCCAGTTTCCAAGAGAGTGATTTTCTATGTTGATCTGCACCTCTGATGAGGCAAAGAGCTGTAGGAATGACAGGTCAACAGCACGGATCATATTCTAAAATATTTCAGCTGCTAAATGGAGTTGGTAGCCAGTGCAGAACATAAGAACTTTGGCCCAGGGTGATGGAAGCTGATATATATATATATTCTTTATTGGTGCAGGAACTGACTCACACCTTTAAGTGCCAAACAAAGAATTACCTACTTAAGATCTGGAGGTGTAGCTCAATATTGACTCAGGGCTTTTCAGTAGTCTATCAAACCTTACCCTGGTGATAGTATTTCCCTGTTGTCTGTAGATTAGAAAAGGTCCTGTTATTGTCAATATTTGCATTAAATACAAGCCTGCTATTTTTAAAGCTTGTGTGAGTGACCTGTTTGTTGCTACTGCTTTCTGCACGACAGCTGATCCAGCTAACAGCTTGGAGAAAAATTCCCCATTGGAAAAATTCTTCAGGTTTCCACATGCTGACCGAACTGTTCTACACCATAGATTGACAGGTCTTGAGCTATCAAATCCAGCTCTGACCAATTCTCCTAACCCTCTATCCACTTTCTTGACACAAGGTCTGACCTCTCTTACCCCCACACTGCCATACAGCAGAACAGAGAATCCTCTCATATTGCTCTAATTGTCAGTTCTGGACTTAATTTTGTATTACATAGGCAATACTCCTTTAGTTTCTGCAGCTTTCTTATGCTTATTGCCTTATGAATAATTTACCCCATTATTTTATGATTTATGAATGATTTATGTAATTCATTCCTATCACAAAACTCAATTTACAGGAGACAGATTAATCTAAACTGATTTCAGTATGCTTTCCCAAATTCTACTCAGGTTTTACCATGGTATACCACAGTAAACCTTTATTAGGTCCATCGGGGTCCCTTTCCCTTTCTTGTATAATTCTTTCTTATTTTATCTCTTTTATCCCAGTTCCATGGTCTGAGGGTCAGACCAATATTGGGTAGCCTGTAAGAATTGCAATTCTAAAACTTAATGCAACTGTGACGTGGTTACACAAAATGTAGGGACCTCTACAGAAAGACAGCTAATGAGAAGACCAGGGTTCAGTGTTGTAGAGCAAATTGCATGAAATATTAATGTTCATCAGTCAGGGGTGTGAGCCTGGAAGGTGTGGGAACGGTAAGGTTTTGGGATCAAACCCCAGGTGGGACACTGCTGAAGTACCCTTGAGCAAGGTGCTTTGCTCAGATTACACATGTAAGTCACTATGAATAAAAACCTCTGTAGCCTTGGGGTGTTGAGTTTAAAAGTGCTCCTATCACCCCAAAACACACCTTATTATACAGAATTGGGCCTTTTCCTGCTATGGACCGCCTGCCAGAGGCTACCTGGGGTTGTTTGATTCATACAGAGGAAGAAGATTAATACACCCCCCCCACCCCATGTTCCTCCACCCTGAAAATAAAACACTGTTTTTTTATAGTGCAATGGCAGATGGCCAGCTTTCAACAGCTTCTGCTCTTTTTTCTAAAACCCTGCTGCCTTTTTTAACCCCTGGGAGAGCTGGAAAGGAGAAGCTGTGGCCCGGATTAACAACAACACAGACAGCTTCTGATTCAGCAGCTCTGCACTTCTTCCTCCCAGCAGATGAGACTCGCTGGCCACCAAAACGGCCGTGTGCTGAACGTGGTCATCTGGGCCCCTTAGATCAGGGCCTGACAGACAACGGGCCTTTCCAATCTGCTCTGCCCCGGTGCTGAAGTGCAATCAGCTCCTGAGTTCTTTGGCACCGAGAATTAGAAGGAACATGCAGCAACTGAGGTACTGGTTGCACTGAAGTACTGCAGTGCCCTAGAAGCCCTGCCTTAAATTTCCAAGGCACCTGTGGAGCACATACAAGGTTATCAGACGTCCAAGGTCTTCCAAACACCTCCACAAATAACAGTATGGCCAGCTATTGTCTGTAACTCTGCAAGCAGTCTTCCCCAACTCCTCCCCCACATAGCTTGTCACATGCCTGTGATTTCATCTGTGTACTCTTTACTTCAAGTAAGCTGCCAGAACGGATACAGAGATGTTCTTCCTGAAGGAGATCTACAGACTACACCGCTGCAGTGCTTGGGCACCAGTGACAGAACTGTGGTTCAGCAGCCCGATCAGCAAACAGGAGCCCTTCTGAGCAAACAATCTCGTCGCATCTTGCCACTGGCAACATCAGGAAAGCACCTCTGACCTCATCCTTGCCACTGAGAACTGCACTGTGTCCTCGCAGATAATAAAGCACAAAGCAATAAAAAACACAGGAAGCTAGCAATGTGACTCATTTCATGTCAAATCATGACAATGAAGCTTTCCCCAGCTCGCAAGGAGGAGTTTTCCTTGGGACTTTTGTCTAGAGCATAGTGTACTTTTGGATCAACTGTTTTTTTTTTCATCATTTTTTTTGTGTTAAGGGAGAATACAGATAAGATCAATTATGGACAAGGAACACAGAAAAACAATATATATATATAGAAGGATGAATTCTTGGAATTGTGACCTGCTTGTTGTTTTTGGGATATCCAGAATCATTAACTAAAGTTTAAAGCCAAGTAAGACTGGGAAACCCCCAAAAAAGCAGAAGACATAATCAACTGCTACTTCTCCAAATAGAAACTTTTGTTTTTACAATGTTTCGCGAACGTGCACAGTCCCTCCCTATTAATAAACACAAAGCCCCACTCCTGAGAGCCGAGAGATGGTGTAATGCCCCCCGGAAGAACTCAAATTCCTTCATGGATAGTATTTCTGCACGCAGAGTCATTGCTGCCACATGAGAACGTGGACACATGCAAGTATAAATGTGTGGTTAGTCTAAGGCTCTGGGAAGGGGTTAGGCTTAAGGAGAGGAATTCTTCGGTACTCACTCCCCGAACTTGTTCAGCCCGAGCAACAGGGGGCGCCATGACTTACTCTGCTTGCTTTTGTCCTTGTGCCACAGCTGCTGCAATTCCTGCTGTTTTTCCTGCTCTTGCTCTCGTCGCCGCTGCTCCATGTTAAACTGCAAAACACAACATTGCACATCCTACTAACATTCACCGGCAAACGCGTGATCTCAAAGCCTCATTTACTTAGATGGAGAGCAACATCTTGACCAAGGCAACTACCAGAGTGAATGACCTTGTCTCCGAGATACTTACATGTTTTGTGTTCTGTGGTAATACATTTTACCATTTAGATCACAAACCAGTCCCTTGCGGTGTAGCCGAATCTCCTTAAGGAGGAGATGAGATGTGGTCACTTTGTTTCGGATTCTTGTCCATTTCATTACTGTGAGCATGAGGCCTTTGCTTTCCTCCCCGTAAGAGAAAGACAAGCCTCACATCAAAAACGCCAGAGATCAGATAAGACATGATCTTTCTGAAAAGCTGCAGAAGTGTCCCATCAACATGCCCTGGCAGAACCACCTACAGTACCAGCCCGCTCATGGCCGATACTGCAACTGTGTAACTGTTGCCATGATCTGCATCTCTGCCTGTCATTTCTGGCAGAGGAGAAGATCTTCTCAAGGCTAGCAAAAGCACAAAGCATGTTTCTTCTGTCTTTTCCCTCCAAATGGGTGTCAGGAAGACCAAAACGGGAAAACCTTTTAGCGAGACGGGAAGGTGTTTCTTTTAACAGAGAGACTCAGTGCTTTCCAATTTGCATCCACAAGCCTGAAATACACGCCTGTGTGCTGTAGTCGAGCGTGCACACCGCAGGGCCACACTTTTCTGGCCAGACACACCACGCACACCCCCCCCCCCCCCACCAGGAGGAGAGCCGGAAGAGAGCCGTACCCGGATCTGCTGGTGCAGCTGGTGCTGGGAGATCTGCGCGCAGGGCTGGGGGCTGGGGAACGGGCCGAGGAGCAGGGGGTGGGGCAGGGGCGTCAGCATGGCGGTCTCCGAGCCGGGCCGCACCAGCCGCTGGCCCACGCGCAGGTCCATGGGGGCGGCCTGAGGGACTGCCACGGACACGGGGGGGCTCACATCCGCTGCGGTGGACAGAGACAGAGAGAGAGAGAGAACGGCATTAGAAAGCAAAGCGCGAGCAAAACGTGTGGCCAGCAGATAGAAACCGCATGAAAAGTAGTTCTCTTTGTGAGTCTGATTCTCTGTCCCCCCACCCCACTCTCTTCTTCGGTTTTTCTTTTCTGATGCTTGGAAAAGGGGGGTGTCGTTATTGTTGTGCGTCTGAATGCTATTACAATACAGAACGCAAACAACAAAGGGTGGCCAACAGGTACACAGGAAACAGGAAAAAAAAAACAGGAAAACAGGCCAACAGGAAAAAAACTAAACCAATGGCAACACAGTGTTACCGAGCGGCTGAGTATCCACTGCCGACAAGCGCCAACCACAGCCTCACTCTTGAATTCAGGAAAATTGCTCTGCACTGGGGCTCGCCTGAGTCTCGATCCAAACGCACTCGATCCACGTACGTGCTTCTAATGCACGTACCTGCTATTGATGTGTGAAGAATAATTCAAAGTGGACAGTGAACCAGATAATACTAAGGCTCCCATTTACAAGCACGCAGTACCGACTGTCCTTGTTTCAAGCCTAGGGTCTGTTGCGCAGTAGGCATGAGCAATTTTAGACAACTTGCAATCTTGCTTCAGCTGGAAAAAACCTATGGAATCCTATAGTCTATGGATATTTCTATATATCTATGGTCATCAACATAACCTCTTTAGTACAACACATGCTTTGGACATAGGTTGTAAAATAAAAACACATGTGTCCACTTTGATGCCTTTCAAAAACATTTTCAAAAATCATGCGAACAGCATTAGACACCTGCAGTACCGTAGGCCTTCCCACTGAAAACCCCATCAGAAAGCCACTGCTGACCGCCACACACCTGTACAATAAACCTTTCGAAGATTTCAGAAAAAACTCCAGGACATTTAGAACTGTGTTCCGCACAGAGCCAGAATAGAGACAAGAACTATTAAAGAGCTGTACAGGACCAGGGCATGGCAGGGTGTGTTTATGCTGATGAATGGGTCAGCGAGTTCAAGCAAGGCAGCATGAATATGACAGCACAGTGTCCCTGGCTTAGTTACACTGCTGCACAGTAAGAGTGGGAAAAACACTGAATCACCAGCGGACTCACAAAGCTGCCACCTCACACACTGGTCCCACTCACAGCTGTAAACTGATCCCTGAACGCCACTCCCGGCAGAAACAAAAAAACAACAAAGGTGACTTCTTTCCAGGTGACCTCAAATCAGAGCTCCAGGAAGGGGCTCCAGCGATTACAGGGCTCCCGTTCCGTGAACTTACAAGGGAAACTACCTCCTCCGTTGGAGCTCTCCCGCACAACACAAAAGCGGGCGTGCTTCTGTGCTCCAATCCCGCACGTCCATTTGAGCCCGGCCTCGGGCGTTTATCTCGGCCAGAAAGAAGGGCAACACTCTGCCCACGTTGGAAACCGGCTCTTTTTCTTTTCCGCTGTTGTGAATTAAGCGTTTTCATTCGATGATTTCCATATTGAAACATTTGCATCGGTGACTCAGCGGAAGGCTCATTTCCTTCACAACAGCAGATTCTGTGGTCCTGCTGGGGCAAAGATGATTTTGCTGTGAGAAGCCGTCGCCGAGGTCAAATTGAAGTTCACGCCTTTGGCTCCCCAAGGGAACAAGGGTTACCACCTGGCAGGGCTGGGGAAATCGTTCAGTTCAAGCAGACTGTGCACACATCACTGCTCCTTCAGGCAAGCACATCGTTGTTTTGGATCCTTCATAAAGGAGCAGCAAGAGTCTTCAGCCAGTGATCTTCAACCGAGTGGTGATTTCCCCACAGAGCAAATAAGGGACGGGAAGACCTTTTTAACGTCTGCCACATCGATGGGGTAGGAATGCGATTGGCAGTTCTTCTACGAAACTACATTTGTGAAAAAAACAGGAATCACAGGGTTTCCAGGGCTGGATCACAGACCCCCCAAAACATCCAATACCACTGAAAGTAACCAGGCGTCACCCTGAATCGGGTACAAGTGCATGTTAGTAACATACTCAGAAAGCTAGTGAATGAATTTCCTGTATCACAGGAAAGATAGGATGACAAAACAGGTCTGGCACACTCTGAAAGCGTGCCAGACACACGGCCCGGTGTCAGAGAAGTTCTCATGCAGGTAGAGAGCTGGATAGTCAGACAGAGGAATCCTGACGTCAGGACAGCTTTCGCTGGCTCTGCAGGAGCCTCCTCTCGTCTTAACAGCGAATAAGGCGGGAAGGACGCACTGGTAGAGCTGTAACCGGTTTTTAACCATCAAACATGAGACGCCGAAGTAGAACCTCCTGTCTTACCTGTAATTGTCGGTCATTCAATATCAGGATTTCAGTGCAATTCTGAAGTGATCGGACCCCTAGGTAAGAATGCACTATGATCGACTGGAACAGGTAAAGGTTTATTCCATGCTGAAAGGGAAAGAAAAGAGACACAACATTTCGGCTGTGGAGCCTTTTTCAGATGTTGACAGCCAAAATGTTGTGTCTCTTCTCTTTTCCTTTCAGCATGGCATAAACCTTACCTGTTCCTTTGCAGCCTACCCATGCTGACACCACTACCTACTCTAACCTCCATGATCTACTGAGGGAGAAAATAAGCAAATCAAACAAATGGTTCTGTGCAATAGCGGCACAAATATGGAAAATGTATACCAAAAGCACAGCGTATATTAAACGTGGCCGAAATCCTGAAGCAGGAAACTAAGAGACAAATATTTTCTCAACACATTGCTGTCACTATGACAAACAGACAAAAGTAAAAGGAAGAGTGGAGCGTGTCTAAGGCATGTATCAGTCATGCTGCAGTGTCCCGGTCTGAAACTGGCCTCCTGTGCCCTCCCTGAACCACATCTCCGGCCACACAGGGCGTGGAGGACCACAGGAATGTCCACTCCTGAAGAACTGTGACAACACTTTTCCCAACAGCAAGATCTGTCTTTTGTCAAATTCCTTATTAAGTGCTTTACTGGCGTGGCTGATGAATTACAGTGTTGCCAATAAAAATAAGCAAAACATTTACAACAATAACATTATTATTGTTATTGTTATTATTATTATTAGTATTATTGAGGGTTATCGTGTGTGAGTGTGTAGGATTGTGTGTGTGTGCAGTGGAGTGAGGGTTATCGTGTGTGAGTGTGTAGGATTGTGTGTGTGAGTGTGCAGTGGAGTGAGGGTAT